CACGTTTGAAACTACAAATTGGGCTAATAAAAGAGAGTACGAAAATTTCGTTTCAGTGGCACTTTAACACCAGATTGTAAACGCGTTTCAGGTAATCTTGCGTGTCAGGTAATATTCCGTGATCAAAGAAACTGTTTAGAAAAGGTTGTAAGCCAATCAAATTAGGTTTCTCTAAGTTTTAAGGAGTGCCGTGTGTTGAGTCTTTTTAGTACAAGTACACAGTCAGAGCGAGAGAGGAAAGCCAACCTTGTGATCGTAAAATAAACTTGTGAAGTTTGCGAAGAACGGCCTGTTGAGTCTTGGTATTCGCAACAGTATAACATACTTATTGAGGTCCTCTTAGTGTCTGTATTGACCTAAATATCAAATTTTAGTCGAGAAATAATGAAAACGCAGCTATAAGACAAGTCAGAGCAGCTGATCTGATAGTGCAATAATCACATTTCTTTGGAATAAGGAAATCTAAAAACTTGCGTTCCGGAGGAGAATTAATGATTTTTTTCACGACGGAACTTGAATCAAAATAAAATAAATAAATAAATAAATAATTTTCTCTCAGCATCATGATATTGTCAGTAAAACGACTGATCAGATGAAATTTTTTTCCTGTCCAAAAATTTCTTTTTTGAAATATTTATGTTTTATAAGTTTGCCAGTAATGCGTGCAATCCTATGTTTATTTTCCAACTACTGATACATCATTAGTAAGGAACGAATTTTACTCCTGGAATCAGTCAAGATATAATTTTAAAAGAAAGGATTACATTTCCCTTCAACTTTGTTCATGAGGAGTTTGTCTTCCCACATTTGAAAGAAAAACGTCCTGGTTTTAATTTTACCTTTTGAACTCATTTGGTTGTTGTTGTTTTTTCTTTTATTTATTTATCTATTTATTTATTTATTTATTTTCATAAGGTAAGAAGAAATAACCAAAGGTCAGGGAACTATCGAGATTGGCAGTGGTACTTGGTAAGTACGTAACGAGTACCCAGTTTACACGTATAGTCTCCCCAGTCTCCCCAGTCTCTTCCCTGCGAACACACAGAAGATTGACAGCAGGCTGCAGCTGGGATCTGAGGTGTTCCCTTTTGGATGTCTCATGACGTCAGGATGCCATTATGTCACGCTCATATGCTCCCAGGACACTGTTGCCGTTTACCTCAAAAACCGAGAAAAATAAATGAGTTTTCTGTGCGCGCTGTGATGCATGAAATGTTTACAATATTAAAACCAGTCTCCATAGAAACCCGAATTCATCATGTACATGTACTGTCCAATATTGCCCAAACCACGAGTGTTAGTCCGCAATCCTCTCTTTGCAGAACAAGTAATAAACGCTCTTCTGGTTTTTATAGAGATTTAATACTTAAATGAATTTTAATCTGAAGTAAGCAAAGTAGTTTCGCGAGTGGAG